CTTGCTTGTTAGAAAAACTTGTTGCTCAACCCGTTGCTAGTTATGCTCACTAAAAATTTTACCTTATTTTAAACTATAGATAAAATCTACCAATACTATATTGAGCTTAATGTAAACTGTCAAATTTTTTTAAAAGGTCTCGTTTTTGAATAATTTGATGACCGGTTAAAAATAAAACGTGATTCGATAAATCACCACCAACATTTGATTAGGGTGTGATTGGACACCTAAAAAGTATATGTCATTTTAAAAAATATTCATTTTAATTAAAACAAAAAATTTGCGGTTTGCGTTATCAAAAAGTTGAGTACGGGAGTCGGTTACGCGTGGGGAAGGATTAACACCCCTACAATGCCCTAAATCGGTACCTAGTCGATTAATTAGTTGCTTTTGCAATGAAATTTAGGAATTCGAGTCTAATTTAATTTAAGATCTCATACAAGTAATATTCTTTGAATTTTACGACGAAACACAATAATATTTTCGAGCGCTCGATTTGTGATTGACTTGCTTAATAAGCATCCTTAATTTATAGATAAAGTTAATTTGAGTAAAGTAGAAAAATAATAAAAGTTGGCTGACTAATGTTGTAATTTACCCTTTAGACTATATATTGTGTTAGTTAATAGAGAAAATAACTTCAGTGACCAAAAATCCCAGATATATACGATTTTGATCAACTTTTTTGGATTTGCGAAAATGACCAACAAAATCGCAATGCGATCTCTAATTCGCATTGCGATCTCCACTATTGCAAATTCGCGTTGCATTTCGCGTTGCGATAATGAAAAATCGCATTGCGATAGTTGAAAATCGCGTTGCGATAGTCTACAGTTGTCGTTGCGATTTCCAAATTCGTTGCGATAGTTTAAAAAAAGATTTGTTTCTTAAGAATTTTCTCTAAAAAGATAGTATCGCGCGGACGTGTCGAAGACACGTATGACCACGACCACGACCACGACCACGACCACGAGACGAGACGAGAGGACGGCGGCGGCGGAACGCGAGAGTCCCTCTGTTCTCTATCACTCACAAGGAAGTGGAAAGCCAAGCCTTAATACCATTCTCAATAGTGTTTCCAATACTATGTGAGATTGAGCATTACCAACACTTGTTTCCAATACAATGTGATTTTCAGGAAACAATTAACAATCATGCACTTAAAACAACTGAATCAGCAACCAATTGCATTAGTATTATACGATTAAATATGTCATAATTAAAAGTCAATCTACAATCAATCGCGATTATTGCAATTTTAAGCAAAACATTCAAAAATAATCACTATTTAAGGCTCAATCCCACATAGTATTGGGAACAAGTGTTAATGCTCAAATCCCATAGTATTGGAAACACTATGGGAATGGTATTTAAGGCTTGGCTTTCCACTTCCTTGTTGAGTGATAGAGAACAAGGGGGGACTCGCGCGCGTCGTCGCCGTCCGTCTCGTCTCGTCTCGGGTCGTGGTCGTGGTAATACGTGTCTTCGACACGTCCGCGCGGATACTATCTTTTTAGAGAAAATTCTTAAGAAACAAATTTTTTTTTTAACTATCGCAACGAATTTGGAAAATCGCAACGACATTGTAGACTGTCGCAACGCGAAATGGAAAATCGCAATGCGATTTTCAACTATAGCAAAGCGAAATGGAAAATCGCAACGCGATTTCACTATCGAACGCGAAATGCAACGCGAATTTGCGATAGTGGAGATCGCAATGCGAATTAGATCGCATTGCGATTTGTTGGTCATTTTCGCAAATCCAAAAAAAGTTGGTCAAAATCGTATATTATCTGAGATTTTTGTCACTGAAGTTATTTTCTCTAGTTAATATGCGAAATAATTAAATATTTAAAAAATGAAGACCCGTATGGGTGATTTATCCGACCCCATTTGGCATGAAACCTGAAAGCCCAAGTTATTTGACCCAGCAGCAGATCAGGCCTTTTAGCAGTGGAAATAATCTACCCAAATTGATGAGATATCTTTCACTTCCAACTCTAATTAGTGTAATAATGACTTGTAGGATCATGCCCTAATTTCTAGGAAAAGATCCCAAAAGTGACTAAAATTGGCTTTTTTTTCATGTTTACTACGGGTAGTAATGTTATCCGATAGTATAATTAAGATTAATATGTCGCGAATTTTATCAATAATCAGTTGGTCTAGTGGAATGAGAAATTAGGTTCCTTAAACAAGATTAGGAATTCGAATCTTGACATTTACAAATACAACAAACTGGATTGGGAGGGTCGCTCTCACCTTTGCAGTGTCTGATCTGGCATCGAACATAACCCTATATTCACATAATCTAAGCAATCTATATTCTTCTCTCTAACCTTAGTGTTAATATAATCTAAGCAATCTATATTCTTCTCTCTAACCTTAGTGTTAATTATATCCTTATAAGTATTAACAATTTCATCAGCAGAATGGGCTTGACCTCTAAAATGACGGAAATTACTCTCCTCTCAGATGCCACATAATCTAAGCAATCTATATTTCTCTCTAACCTTAGTGTTAATTATATCCTTTATAAGTATTAACAATTTCATCAGCAGAATGGGCTTGACCTCTAAAATGACGGAAATTACTCTCCTCTCAGATGCAAAAGATGTGAGCACTCCAAGCCTATGTTTTGAAAATCGGATCGGACCGGTCGGTTTAATCGGTTTAATTGGGAACCGTTGTTTAGTCCGGTTCAATCTAAACCGGTTGAACCGTTATTAGTGAACCGGTCAGAATCGCTGAACCGTTCGAACCGGACCGGCTGAAAATCGGGAAAAACTGGGATTTTATTTTTATTTTTAAAAAAAAATTAAACCAAACAACGTCGTTTGTTAAACGAGCCAAGTCGAACACGAGTATTGTTGAGCTCTACTCGAACTTGAAAACTTTAAAAGTAAGCTCAACTCAACTCAACTCACAAGCTGAAAATTATCAAGTTCAACTCAAACTCGAAATATAATATTGAAACTTGAACTCAAAAAGGCTTGAACTCAAAAAAATTAGAAGCTCGATTGAAGCCTAAAATTCGAGCTTGATTGAAGTGAAAGAATAGTTAACTCAATGCTCAACAAAAGGCTCCATGATTTTGAATGCCAAATTACCTCTATTATTTATAGAAGTTAGTTGTGATGCGCTTCTATGTTTCTTAGCAATGTGAGATTGTTTTGTTCTCATATTTTTACTCTTTAGACTTTTGGGATGTTCTTCTATGTTTCTTAGCCATGTGGGATTGTTTTTAAAAAAAATTAAACCAAACAATATCATTTTGTTATGATTTTTTAACCCCAAATTTATTTTTTAATTATAGTTATATAATTATATTTATTATTTAATATGTTTTACCTTAAATATTATGTTGTAGTTAATTTGAATCATTTTGTTTCACTTGATTTTATGGTTTTTAACTTATATATGTTATGACTTGCTTTGAATATGACTTGTGGTATAAAAAATTATTTTTATTAAATATTTTTGGTATTTTTTTAATTTTTTAAATAATTATGACGTCGTCCGGTTCTTCCGACCGGTCGGACCGGTTCGACCGGTTAAACCAGTAAACCGATAACATGACCGATTCGCTAACCGGTCCGGTTTTAAAAACCATGTCCAAGCAAGTTCCGGGATAAACATCAGCAAAGATTTACCCTTTAACCCAGCATAAGCCCAAGCTAGCTCGAGATCCCCGTCGAGGACATCCCTCGTAAACCGGAATAGATACAGTTAAACTCTATAAATTAATAATGTCAGGATCGGAGAAATTATTAATTTAGAGTTTATCGTAAATTAATAATTATTAATTTAAAGAGTTTTTAAGTAATTATACTATAATACCAAACAAAAAAGCAAATTAGTCTATGCTCTTAGAATTACGTTGCAAGAAATGAGTTAAATTAATAATGAGCTCCAAATAGACTTGAACTTTAAAAGAAAACAGACAACTATTGAATCATATTTCAATAGAGTGTAATATATTTTTTTCAGTTTATATGAATTATTAATTTATGATTTTCTTGGGACCGAAAATTATAAAGGGATCTCACGAAAAATTATTATCTTATTATTTTATCGAGTTTTTCAATTTTTTACATTGGCCCAAGTCGGGAATGGACAAATTTATTATTTTAGAGAGTTTATTAATTTACCGAGTATTAACTTAAAGAGTTTCTACTGTATGTAACTTACGTAAATTGTTATAAACGTAATATTTTTAAAGGTTTAAGGGTAACATTTGTCATTGTAGTAAACTTAATTTATTATTTTTGTCCGTGACATATTTTCGCATCAATTTAATCATCTAAGTTACTCGATTGTACCATTATATACGCTACCCCTAACTTAAAATCCTAAATTATAAACGCTAAACAATTTATAATTTAGAGTTTTAAGTTAGGGGTAGGATATAGAATGATGCAATCGAACAATTTGGAGGACTAAATTGATGCGAAAATACGACAGGAACAAAAGTGATAAACTGAGTTTACTGCATGGACAAAAATTACCCTTTTACCTATTTTAAATTTCAACTTAAAATGGTACACAGTTTACCCTAAAAATTACTCTCGTTGTAAGTTTTTTTAGTTATAATTAATTTTTATCTTTTTTTTATTTTATACTGATCGATTGTATAATTATTTTTTATATTCTTTTACAAATGAGGTATAATAACTAAATTCTTAATTTAGTAGAACTATATAAAGATAAGATAAGATATGACTTTATTTGGTTATTAAATCTGAAGTTCGTTTTGTAGTCGTCACTTGCGTCAACATTCTACGTACTTGGAGATAGACACGGGCAGGTTTGTCCGTCTCAAATTCACTTTAAATTTTAAGATGGAGCGTATTTTTATATTATACGAATAATTATAATATTATAATAAATATTTTTCAACTTTTTTAATCCTAAATTCGACTCATCCCAATAAATTGGGTAGAAATCTAATTCATAATCACATGCTCCCGGTAAATCCCGTCTTCTCTATTTGTCTTTGATTTTCATTGCACAAGCTGTTCCATTTCTACTTGGGATTTTCCCCTGTTTTTGGGGTTTTTCTGGTTTATACCTTTATCCTTTCTCCATTACTTTTAATAGGCAGGTATGTGGATTTACATTTGTTGAAGGAGATTCTTGAGCTTAGCTGCAAAAACCATGAAATACTGCTGAAAATTTGATTAAAGATGCATGGGGTAATCCTGTAAGAGTGTCTGTATTTGTGTGACTTGTTGATTTTTAACTATGGGTTTTATTTGATCTTATCTTCTGTATATAGAATCATGGCGAAAAACTGAGTCTTTGCTCCGTGGGGTAGCGAGATTACATTTAAATTCAATGAATAAGCTTGTGTTCTATGCTATATTATTCATACATGTACTTATTCAATGTTATAAGCTTGTGTTCTATCTTTAGTTTCTCTTCTTTTTGTGTTTCATTGTATTAAATTGTGGTTGCGGGTATTGCGGACGTTACGTCGTGATTTATTTCTTAAAAGTAATTTAACAGGTGATATGGAAGGGGAAAAGGGAAGCATAGATGTTCCCAGGAGTGACAGGAATGGAAAACACAAGGTGTTTGATAAAGTATTTTCTGCCCTTTTTGTTCAGCTTCCAAACAAGCTTCAAAATCATCTTAAGGTTAGTCATTTCTAGGATGAAAAGTGGAATTCTTTTATTGGAATGCCATGTTGATGGATGGATCTTTTTGTATATCAAAGCTTGAACGGAAATTCCCTTCTTGTTTTTGCCTCGGTCACAGCTCGATAAGTTAGCAAAAGATAACGATGAATTAAAATCTGAGAACCCTTCTTTTGGGGAAGAGAAGGGCCCATCTGCTGGATCGAGTGTCGATCTCGAGAAACAATTGCAAGCTTGGAGAGAAAATCCTTCATGGGACAATCAACCTCCTGAAATTAAGGTAAACCGGGAAGTTTTACTGTCTCCTTCTCAAGAGCTATGTTATCCGAACTCTTCATATACGGTTTTGAACACCAGATCAGTTGAAAACATGAGCTCTTATAGCAGCAATATTTCATTCATAAAGGCAAAGTTAAAGATAACCTTAGGATCTATCAATTTGCAAAGAATTAGGGTATGTTGTTCTTGGCAGGTCGGTGTACCGAAAGGTTCTCTATGCAGCCTTAAGACAAAACTTGATGTCGGGTTGCCCCCGGATGCAGTGTATGATATTTTAACTGATCCTGATAGCAAGAGAATTTTCAAGAACATTAAGGTGAGAGCCGCCCGTACATGTTAAACTGAAATAGTAGATGCAAAGTTTTCTACTTACGAGCATGACTTCCGATTTGATGCAGTGGCATCTCCCAGCTTCGATGCTTGAAGCAGTTTTGGAAATTTCTCTATATTTATTTCATAAACTCATGTTTTGCTTCAGGAAGTGATATCTAGAAAGGTACTAGTTGATGAAGGACAAAGGCAGTTGGTTGAGGTGGAGCAAGCAGCTTTGTGGAGATTCCTTTGGTGGTCAGGGACCATTTCTGTTCGTGTTCTTGTGGATCAAAACCGAGAAGATCACTCGGTAAGGATTTTCCTTTTTCTGAATTACCATGCACTAGTTATGAGCACGTAACTCTTGGTTCTAATGATGAATGGTAAACAGATGAAATTCAAACAAGTAAACACGGGATTCATGAAGAAGTTTGAAGGTAGGTGGAGAATAGAGCCTGTTTTTGTGGATGAGGAAATCTGTTATCCTTTCAAACCTAAAACGTTGGCTGAGTATTGTTCGTGCAGTGGCGGCAAAGGAAGGATCGGGTCAAAGGTGAACTTGGACCAACTGGTTCAACCAGCCATTGCCCCTCCCCCACCCATTTCTTGGTATCTAAGGGGAATAACTGCCAAGACCACTGAAATGCTGATAAATGATCTACTTGCTGAAGCTGCTAGACTCACGGGTGGCCATCGACCTGTCTCCGAAAACTCGAAGGAGCGTAGATTATCTAACAAAAGAAACGAGGATGACCCGGTTGAGCACATATGCAACATTAAAGAAAGATGGAGCCTACATAGGAGAAACACAAAGCAGCATCGTAAGAAGCTTTTGAATGCAGAATCATTTTGATTGGTTCAGTTTCATCTGTAGTCTGTTGCATCTGTAGTCTGTTGCATCAATGTTTTTCATATGATCAAGTTACTTGAAAAGATTCATATGGCTTCTGCGAGTTCAATGTTAGTGAATCAATGGATTAGAACAAGAGCATCGACATTCGACTTGATTAGGGTTATCCGAAGTTTGAACCCGGATCTAGGTGTAAACTAATAACCACACCAACAACTAGTTGACACTTTAGATAATAGTTTTAGTCGAACGTAAAAATCGAATTAAATCATATTCTTGTTTTGCAAAATATGCAAAAGCAGATTTGTAGAAGTTCGGCAATTCATAGAAATGTAATTAACCAATTGCAAAGAAGTTTTGATTACAGAAAAGAAGCATCACATCCAACCAAACCATCTTTTAGTTACAATATACAAACCACAAGGTCCTAACTAATAATAACCGAAAAAGCAGAAAAGCATAATAATCCAACTGTCGCGGTCGAAATGACGATAATAATAATAATAACTGAAAAATAGATAACATTCACCCCTGCATCCAGAATTTTTGATACTGCAAAGTACCTTCTTAATAACTTCAGGCCTGCAAAATTGCATACGAACATAAGAGAACGGTACTATCGTACATGAAGATAAATGGTGCAAGTTTATCTTCTTGCCTTGCTAGCTATGTTGTTGGACAGCCAATCCAGGCCCTCGTAAAGCCCTTCACCGGATGTTGCACAGGTGCTCTGGATGTACCTGAGAAGAAGAGCAAGGTGCATCCGTGATAATGAATGAGAAGCTAGTGACTGAAGTGGGAAAAGACGATGCGAAAAGCTTACCAGTGACGGTTTCGAAGGGAGTTGAGACCAAGCTTATCAGTTATTTCAGCAGCATTCATTGCGTTTGGAAGATCCTGCTTGTTTGCAAATACTAGTACTACAGCATCTCGCAGCTCATCCTGGAAATTAGTGAACTAGTTAGCCATGACAATCTGTCAAAATCAGCCCGAAAGCAGAAGATTCAACTCAGGCTCTTAAGTTTACCCTCAATATTCCAGTACCTCTCTACTTTCATTGATCTTATTGGTATAGGTATTGACAATATAAACGTAAAGAAAGTCATAACATTAAACTACATTTGATGAACAAATATCTTGAACAAATATCTTGAACAAAAACCGTAGCATATAATGTACAGACAAATTTTATTGAAAATAGCCAGTCATTAGCTTTAAAGTTGTAGTTTCATAAGGTGTTTCAACACCCACATTCACTCTAGCACTTGTGCAACAGTCTTTACGATTGACAGCTCAAGCAGCAAGAGAAATCGAGTCCTCTATGCTAGGAATATCTTGAAACAATTAATAACGAATCAAGTTAAGAAGAAAACTCTTTGACTACTAGGGGCAAACAGTGGACATCTGATTACCATATAGGATCCTCGACCCTTAAGCACAATACAAGGCTACCCTTTTGTTTGTGTAGGGCTCTTAAATCTAACATTTATGAAGGGAGAAACAATAGCATCCAAAGCCAAATATAACGGCAATACAGTGCATGCATAAAAAATAACCATAGAGACAAGAGGTTTAAATGTAACAAGCATACCTCATTCAACATTCTATGCAATTCATCCCTGGCCTCAGCAACCCGGTCTCTGTCGTTGCTGTCAACCACGAAGATGAGACCCTGTGTATTCTGGAAGTAATGCCTCCACAATGGACGAATCTGCATGATTAATTATCAAAAAACTAGGGCGTTATTGATTAGCCATTACTTGGATGTCTCAAAATGTAAAGATCATTAACTATTACTGCATCAAAAAGTAAACAGTAATTTGCGAAATTGCTGAAAAAAATGGGAAAACATAAAAGGGGAAAACTCATGCCTTGTCCTGACCACCAACATCCCACACGGTGAAACTAATGTTCTTATATTCCACGGTCTCCACGTTAAATCCTACAAAGAATAAGAAAACATGATTAGTTAACATAAAGCATGAACACAGATAAAAATAATCACAAACAAGAAGATAAAGAAATCACAATATGAAATGACTACTTGATTTAAAGAGGTAAAAACAAATAGTTACATAGAAATCTAAACTCATAATTCAAAAATAAGATAAAGATCATCACAATTTATTTGAATATATCAAATCCTACAGCTACTCTATTACAAGCAGCCAATAACAACAGAACAATTATGATGACTCTACTATAGAACTAGAGATAACCACCAAAACCAAAGATTTAAAAAAAGGGATTTGAAAGAGCTCTCACCGATGGTTGGAATGGTTGTAACAATTTCTCCAAGCTTGAGCTTGTACAAGATGGTGGTCTTACCGGCTGCATCAAGGCCCACCATCAAAATTCGCATCTCCTTCTTGGCAAACAGCCGGCTAAAAAGCTTCGCAAATGACAGCCCCATTTCTCTTCCTTAATTACCAATCCCTTAATATTATGAAAATTTTCATTTATCATTTCCAAAAAAAAGAAAAGGAAAAACTCAAGCCTTCCATTTTCCTATCAATAAACAGGTTTCATGAAATAAATCTGAAAAGAAGGGGTTCTAAGAATCAATTCCATTAAGTCACTTGCATATTCCCTTGAGAAATCACAAATATATAAATATAGACAAACAACAGATCTAGACTAATTCATCAGAGAAGATTTCAGATCAGACAGGAAAGCAACAAGTTCTCAAAATTCGACAGGCAAGGCATGAAGAAATCAAGCATTTTCAGGGCGAGAATCGTCCTTAACCTACGAGTTTAAAGGACAAGGAAACGATTTCAACAAAATCCTCGCATCTAAAACGAAGAGAGAAACTACTGGCGCGTTGGATTGATCTCTTTACATAAATCGCTTGCAACATATCGAACAGCAAAATCTAAAAGCAGATTTGAATGATTATACCTTTGGAGATAATTGCAGATGGATGCGAGAGAGCTTGAGACCAACGCCAATTAAATGTGGGAATGGAATTGCAACTCAGAAATGTCCATTTAGGTTATTTATTCGTTTATTTTTAAAGGAAAAGGCGCGCTGCCGCCACACCTTATTCTTTTCCCCATTCTTCACCAGAAAATAACGAATATGCCACTGTGCGTAAAATTTCGTGTATTACTTCCAATCCTTTATTGACACCTAATTGTTCTCTTACAATCTGCGTGCGTCCAGACCCAACATGGCTTGCTTATTTGTTTGGTTAAACTACAAATTTGGTAATTGAATTTTACTCTCTCTCCTATTTCACTCATTGTGCTTTTAACCTATTCAATTTCTTTACTGAACTTAATACATTGGAGTTCTTTGGTCACTCAACCGTTTTCTCACTGATGACGCTATAAATGGGATGTTATATAAATGCAAAATGATATCGTTTTGATGAAAATTTTATTTTTTAAAAATGACATCGATTTATCTCCTTTAACTATTTAACGACGAAATGACAAAAAATAAACGTATTAAATTCAGTGAGGAATTGAAAACTTTTAAAGTTTAGAGTAAAATAGGAGAGAGTAAAATACAATGATGAAATTTGTAATTTACCCTATTTGTTTTCATTATTATAACTGAAGTTTTCAAAGTCATGTAAAATAATTATGAAGTTTAAAAAAACTTTGTGCTTATTATAAAATTGTAATAATCATTTAATAATAGTTGGATAAATTTAATTATTATTATTTTTGAATTAATCCAATCAATTGATTGACTAATTAAAACAAATAGTCATTTTTTTAATTATTGTTCTGTTCTTCATTGAAACTGGTAGCATGCGTAAGGCTTTTAATTCCACTGTTTCAACCTTAGTTCGTAAGGTTACTAACCCCAATAAATGCATTGCTATTCAACCTATTTCTTGCTGTTCTATCATTTATAAATGCGCGACAAAGATCCTTGGAAACATGCTAAAAATATGCTATTCATTGCGACTGTACTTCCCTCATTGGAGAAGCATCGTTTAGGGAGTATATACCTGTGCCAAAGAACGGGATGGTATAAATTCCAGCATGCCCTCATCTTGTCCAGTTGACAGTACCTTATATGGAGTTAAGTGCAGATCCAGATTTTCCAACTTCAGTAATCTATCCATAAGTGACACCATTTGAACAACCTACAGGAACCATACACCAGCTACATTAACCACATGAATGATTGTCTACACCTTTTCTGATCTTTCTACTAGAATTTTGTCAATTACCAATTGAACTTGCCGAATATCATCACCCTTCTTAAATTTGACCATGCATTCTCCACCGTTGGCTGTTCGAAAAGTCAGTCGCAAAGGGTGTAATGCACTTTTGAATATTGATGACTCTGAAGGCACAATTCCAGTGATAAGGACACTTGGAGCCAAGGGTGACCGAATTGGCTGAAACAATATTGAAATATGGTTATGGTGGCTCTGTAAAACCAAGTAGACACTTGTTCATAGGAGCCTTGGAAAGTTGTAGAACGAAAATTCATGTCAAAGAAATACCTCATCAAAATAAGTAAGTTCACTAAGAAGACCGCAAATGAGCTGTCTAAACTTTTCAATCTTCTTTTGTGTATTGCCACGCACATTCCTCACATCTCTCACTATAGAACACAACTGGGCTGTCAGTTCTGTCTGACGCACCAAGCTCTGCCACTTTTTAAAACCATCCTCTTCTCCATTTACACCGGCTGTCAACTGTAAGCACGCTGTCAACAGTACATTCACACAAGCATAATCCAACATACAGCGTTGCACGAGGAATTGAGAAAGCCGAGATTTATCTGTGCATTCAAATCGAAGTGCCTGAACTAGTTGAAGCAAATAACATTGAAGCTCATCATCATCTGCTCTTTCAAGAACACTAACAGCATATGCACGAACCTGTTAAGAATGATCAATACTCGGACAATCAATATTTCAGAACAAAGATGTTACAGATTATCCAATTCAATCTACACTTTAGACAAAATGCTAAAGGATACTTCAGCTAGACTCTTTCTGGATCAGCCAAGAATGAAGTAAGAGATTTTGTTACAAGCAGTAGACTGTGCAAATTTCATTGTGCCCCAACATCAAATGTAACTGACATAAACTAGACATTGTGTGGGCATGCACTCAGTTTGTGACATTAGGATCCTAAACAAAAAAGACATTCTAGTAAGAGAGCAGCAGTTTTATAACCCGTAAAGAGAAAAGTGTAGGGGAAAGGAAGTAGAATGTGGAGAAAGTCAAACTCACTAGAAATATTTAGAAGGAAATTAAGTTGGCGAAAAACCAACTCTGGTGCATTATAATGTAGTAAAAAACCAACCCAAGATCTAAGGGCATCTTACACAGTTACCTATTATAACAGAAGTTCCAAAAGATATCCCCACAAAAACCAGCCTAATCTTACCACATACCTCTTCACTTTCAAAAAGTGGAGATAGAAGCTCCAATGCATCGCTGGCGTCAATCATCTCCCACTTGCCCATAAGTTCTATTGCCTGCTTTGCTTCCTGCAGACGAATGAACCTAACTCTTAAAGTATAATCATTTTTGTTTAATTAGAATAGTTTCTATCTATTTTTGGTTCAGCATCTATATTAAACAAACAAACAGTAGGTAGAGCCACAAAAGGTTATCACTCAGACCTGCAAATCTGAGCTTAATGTGCATTAATGCCTACCAATTACAGAAAAAGGATCCTTTTAGGAATTATTATACACCAGAACAAGTTTCTTTCTTCTGCAGTCCTTTCCTAACATCTTTCTATAATTTCAAAATATTATATGGTTTATCTGATAAAAAAGAACAGAATTCATAAAATAGGATATAAAGAATGGAGACTCTATGACACTCCTTAGATACTCTAGTATTAAAATAAAAGGTGAAAAACGGATCGAAACAGAATTCATATAATATGAAAAGATTCAAGGTAGACTCTATGGCGCCACATATTTTGATGAGAAAACATAATCGAATCAGAAGATGCCTCAAAGATGAATTAGAAGAAACTGAAAGTTTAAGACAAGGGAGATACAAGAATAATCAAGGAGCAGTTTTCCATGCATTAGACCAGAAGCAGGAATTCACAAGAAAGCAAGAACAAAAGGTAAACGCAAACCTGAACATCACTCCATTCAACACATCGAAGAAACTTCGTGAGGGCCCTCAGACATCAGTGAGAAGCGAAATTTCCAAAGGAGCTGCCTCTCATCTCCACTCAAAGCTCTTGTAGGTGGATATTTCAAAATTCTTCGTGTTATCCTTACAATTAAAGACAAAAACAAAATTCAGTTGAAGGAAATCTTAGAAGAATACACATCGTAGGAATGACAAAACCAGCAATGACAATTTTCATAGTGTTGTTGGTCCCACATGCCCACCAAACTTCAGCAAACACTTGCTACAAAACTATAGATTTCCATGCAGAATCAGACAAATTGATGTAACATTCTATCTCAATGATAGTATGCATGCTAGAAAGAAACAACCAGGCTAACTGAAAATTTTGGAGGATAGGAGAAGCTTCAAGATGTTTTTAAACTTTCTTTCATTAGATCTTGGCTTGAGGTCCCTGACAATGATTCCACGAGTTAAACTCCTTGCAAGCTTCAATTGCTTGTGCTCAGAAGGGTTTATCTTTCCTACTTCAGGGTCCCACACAATGGCCAGTTCATTTGATGAAGCTATTGGAGATGGTAACCAGAAATTGGCCCGATTCCTGCAAAACAAAAGAAAGTTAGGACTATTCTTGTAGGAAGATACAAAATTACACAAAGGTTAATACAATTTCCTTTATATTATGGTTGAATAGATGAAATTGAGAGCCTGCTATATAAATAAAATGCACGAACTGCGTTCAAACAAATAAATGGACTGACTACGAACAAATTAGTCAAGATTCAACATGCCTATACATTTGAAAGGATATAAGAAGATAAATTTCAAATTCTTAAATGCATAAGGTATTTCACATTCACTTCAAAGGTCAGTACCAAATAAATTATATGATGATCATAGATCAGGGTCATACCTGAAAAACAACTCGATGTTCGAAACTACAGAAATCAACAACTAAGTATAAATGAGAGCTTCCATTTTTCAGGCTTTCCCTTTCTTTGATTTTTTCCATAGCCTTGGATGTGAGTCGATCTAGCCAATCAACAGGTTGAATCTGTCCTCTTTCATACTTATTTGCAAGCTTTTCCAGGCGCTCCAACTCTCCACGCATGCCTGGGAACCTATATTGAGATATTATCATATACATTAAAAAGTGAAACTATATAACCAAATACTAAACCAGAAACATTATGCATCATCGAGCAGAACCTTTCCAGGAGTACTTGTTGGATACGATCCATCTGCTTGTTTCCTAACCACAGCCTAAGCTTCTGTTTCCCTGTTTTGAGTTGCATTTTGTTGTTGAATAGAAGAATCGTAGCTCCTCCAATTAATCCATCATCTTGTCCGCATGAAAGATCCCAAACCTCAAGATTCCAGGAGATTGGCAATAAGTAAAAGGCCAAACCAGGGAATGTAGAAATATTATTTTTTAAAGAAGATGGAAGAAAATAAAGGTTATTATAAAAAGGATAATAACATTGGTTTCAGAAATTCACATAAAAAAGGCTAAAATCTCCATGCAAGCAATAATCTAAATTTATAAGTTTAAATCTTGAGCACTGATAAATCAGTTGAGTAGCACACATCCATGTAACACCTCAGGGGCATTCCAACTCAATCTCAAGATCAAATACCTAATCTCTAGAAGCTAACTTTTTGCAGGCTGTGTTTAGACTAAGATATATTGGTGACCAATAATTTAAAAGCTTTGAGAAAATCTAAATCTATAGGTCTCAGAACTTAAGGTTAAAATAATAGTAATAATAAAAATACTAATAACCCCTAACATCAGTGGCATTCATGCTACGAGAGGTACCATCAAAGTCACCTGAACAAAAAGAGACACAAGGTTTTGCCTCGCATGCCGAGAAAGAATCAAATGAGGAAGTTATGACAGAAGGTGTTAGAGTACAAAAATAATATTCCCTGGCTCCTTTTTTTCACTTGTGACTCAAATACAAACTCATATTACCAGCCCACAAAAACAGAATTCAACTTGAACACATCCATTCATTACAATGGGAAAGCAAGCAACAATTTTTTCCTACTCACCGTCAAAGCAAGTTGTGAGTATGCAGTTAAGTCCCGATATTTAGTACTCAAAGTTATCAGTTCATTCCAGCAATACAACGGTCCAGCAGACTCCAACCAGGTATCAATTTTTTAAGAAATTGAAAGTTTAGGTACTAAAACGAACTAAAACTGATAGTTTAGGTACGAAACGTGTAAAGTTTTTTATGACGAGTATTAAAATGAAAACTACACGTTAAGTGTGGTTTTGAAAAAAATTAAAAGTTTAAATAATAAAACGGACTAAAACTGATAATTTAGATATTAAATGTGCAATGTATCCGAAAACTAACCAAACCACTCAAAAATAATAAAAGATACAAATGAACATTAAATTCAGTAGAGGCTTATTAAATATTTAATCTAAAAATTTTAAAAGTAAAATTGAATCCAATTTAAGTTTAAATCGATAAGAACCTAAAATTTCGATCATTGTTTCGACTTACAACAGTTCTTGTTATGAGCATTTAGGATCAAATTTTGAAAACAATTTTAATTTAATTTTTAATGATATACGTTTGATTAATCTAAGAGTGATCATAAAGTAATATATTTGAAAAACTCTAAACTCATTTAACAATATACGATCTTAACATATAGTTTGCTCGAATGCGATACCTTTAGGGATAACAATCATCCCTTAACCATTCGGTTAATTTGGTTCATATAATTTTAAATGATATGTTAAAATAATAGGTAAAATAAGTAAATTACCTCTCTATTATAAAATATTTTCCTCGATTATAAAAATTTAAAGGATTAATTTATTTTTCTTTTAATAATCTGATATAATTATAATGTAATTTCTGTTCAGAATTTTATTAATATATAGATAATGAATATACACTCTATAAATATAATTGCTTAAACTAAAAACATATAGAAAAAATAATATTTTCTTTTATTACTGAACTGATTTAACGAGTATAAGTTAATTAAACTTGAAGTTATATTAGATTGATTAACCAGAACAAAAACATTCACTGCAGTCTAATTTCATAAAAAGGTATTTGTACATCACAGAACATAGGCATTAAATTTATCTACCATACAAACTAGACAAAGGGTGTATGACCGTCCAAGTTTTCCCGACATTTTAATGGCGTTTAGGGTTCTTTCTTCCTCTCACTTAGGGGTGAAAGCCTGCAACAAGAGAAAACAACATTTAATCTAAAGAGAAAAACAATGGGATCTGTGCTTACGCACCCCGGTTTGAGAATGTCTGCCCATCTTCTCCCTTCGGCCCAGCCGATGAAAATAAGCTCGACGATGAAGAGAGTCGTGGTGTCGGTGAAGTATTCCTCGGTGCCTGCCGAGTACCATGAAGGAGTGTTTAGGATACCGATCTTTGTTAAGAACTCTGGGATGAAAATGCCTGCAGCTCCCAACATTGCCCACCTGCAATGCACTAGCTCCGCCTGTACGTTCCATCTCAATGTCTCGGGGTCAGATCCTGTTAGAGAAAACAAAATATTATTATGACCTGAATTCGAATAGTTACGTCTTGAGAATATGTGCCCACGCAATTAAGATCTCACCGAGGCCGAGAGGATCGAAGCCGAAGTCACCAGGGAGACTGCAACAAAAGGGTCCAAATGAAACGTTAAAAGAATTGTCACTATGAGTACATATGGGGCACTGAAAATGCAGGTAGGGCCAAAAACGGTGGTCTTAAGTGACCGAACCTCCCATCCAGCCATGGAGGAGGAACGCTTCCGGGGAACCAAAGGGGCCTGTCGAAATCAGCGGCGGCGCAAACCGGAACCGCTGACACGGCGGCGCGTTTTGCGTACTTTCTCACTGATCTAACCTTCTTTCCGGTTAGGAAAGACGCCTTTGTTGTTCCCGCGACTGATCCAGTCTTCTGGGAACTGAAACATGTTCACAACAACAATCAAAACACAATAAAGATCAACATAATTCACAACAAATAACATGAAAAAACATGTAAACCATCATCGTTTTAATGACATTTGAAGTTAGGGTTTGATTTTAACTTGCCTGGGGGATGAGATGCCAACAGCAGCAATAGCCGAGGAAGCATAAACGGAGGCCATTCTTGGTTGGAGGAATTTTTCGTTTGGATATGTTAATGTATGAAGGGGCTTATCTTAGAGGATTAGGGGAGTAGATATGGAAGAAGCTTGTGGGTTGCCATGTGTCAAGCAGAATCTGATACCAAGGCCTTAGTGGATGCTTGCGCTTATTCGGATTAAATCTCCAATTGGTGGTTCACTTTGCATGTTTGTGTGGCTGATGTATGAGAATCCAAAAAAAGATGTTGCCATGTGTCAAGCAGAATCTGATACCAAGGCCTTAGTGGATGCTTGCTTATTCGGATTAAATCTCCAATTGGTGGTTCACTTTGCATGTTTGTGTGGCTGATGTATGAGAATCCAAAAAAAGATCAATGGCAGTGCATGGTATTGGCTAGCTGTAGGAATACACATGGGATTAGCGTAGGAATGATGACAGTTTGAGTTAGATATTAAGATTGACTGATATATGAGATATTATGAATCCAGAATATCAAATGATTATTATATCTAGTCATCAGTTAATGTTCAGCTCAAACTACCAATATTTTAATGAAAAAAGAATGAGTTTAGAACACAATTAAAATCGGGACCATTTTATAACTTTTAATAGGAATTAACATATATTAGATATTGCTATTTTCCGGTTACAAACTCGGAATCTGATAGCATTGTTTAGTGCTAGGGAAAAAAATTAAACCAAGGAACCAAAACATCCCAGAGACTCACACTTAAACCAATGAACCAAACCTTGAATCCAAATAGTTGTACGTGTCCGACAAATTCTTAGCTGTTGGTTCGAGCCTCGTCGACTAATTTCTGAGCCTTCTTTGCTGCCTTATCGGACAGAAATTTTTTATCCGAACAACAATATATATATCATCGTCTAATTCGCAATTTACTTTTATAGAATTATACACTAAATACATTAAATATAAATCTACATCACCTTAGTAATTATAAACAAGAAGATGATCAGGAACGTCCTTGCATTTCTAATATACGGGGTCGACGGTGGTGGCGACGGTGGATCGTAACGGACCGGAATTCTGTTTAGCATACTCATAAAACTAGCGCATGGATCGCGGCCACCCTCACCAAACCTACGTTCTTCAGGCTGTGTTTGTTGTTCTCAAACTCTACCTTCTAAAACAATGATATTGATAATACATTACGGGAAAAAAGAATCCATAAGCTTAACTTAAAAGCATAAAAGAGAAAAAAATGGAAGATGAATGCCTTTTCCATGGCTGCAAGCTTCTTTGATCGAAGATCGTTAGGGCTTTAGTTTCCGTTTTTGTTTTTCAGTTCATTAGAAATGCGCTTAGTGCGTGGGACTTGAATTTTTTGCAACGAACAAAGATGGAATAACTATCCAATCCGGTGGATATTTAATCTGGACCGTTTAAATTGACATTAAGTGAATTAATTAAAAAAGTATAAATAAATAGCATATTCAGTTCCTTAAACTGTATCTGCTCAAATAAAGAGTTTACCTTTCAAAACAATGGAATAACGTTTTGTTCCTGCTAAAATAAAGATTTAATCTTTCGAAACAGTCGAATAAAAACGGTATCGTTTTGTATCTGCTAAAATAAGGAAATTTGCAAATTATATAAAAATACAACCTCCATGTCCAAGTGAACTCTTACTCTGATACCTTTTAACCATTTTCAATCCACAACTCTGTAATGTGTGTTTCTAGGCTAACATCATTCGATCTGAATAAGAGTTACACTGTCACCTATGTTAAATCTTTTTTCAGACTGTTCGAACACACGTCGACATTCTCTCTTTTTTTTTCTGTTCGGAATCCCACACTTCCGAGTCGGAGTTAGGCTCAGGCCTTAACAAAGAGAAGGGTTATAACTGTCTATGATAGAGGAACAGGATCAGTCCCTATTCAACTATAGAGCTTGCATTTGCAGTTCGGTTTCATGATAAAGCTCACCTCTCAAAGGGATATCCCCTAGGGATAAACAGCTGCGGCTATTTTCTCCCGAAGATTGAATTCCTTCGCTATCAATGGCCTTACATCTTCGACTCCAACCAGGCTCTCCAAAAACGGAAGGAGTAAAAGCAGTTCTTGATCTGAACGGTCATCGAACCAGCTCTCGATCGGTATTCCGTTGTCCACTTGGAATCCAAATGCCTAAGAAAGCATACATCCATCTCGGTTAAATTTCAGAAACAATGCTTATCGTGTCTTTATACATGGCACAACATCATAAGAGGTTGTCATCATGATATTAAGACTAAACATAGGCATATCCATTCGACATGCGTGAGAAGGATTGAACTACACTCGGCTTTCAACTCTCCTCGAGAAAAAAAAAATATTAACTGCTTCTCAAAATGCAGATTGCAGACTACGGCAGGTTTCATCAAAACTTGTGAGAAAAGTGTGGTCGACTACACATGTAATACCTAATAGGCATGCATATTGATGTATCTATTTGTCTTCTATGCTAAACCTATCAGAACCATAGCTAAGATTATTTTTTAAAAGCTAATACCATGTCATACGTGCTGTGTCCATTATTGAATTGAAAATAACTATTTTCCTTTTTTCAACCTTCTTTTTCAGTACTCAGAAGAAGCGCTAATGCAAAGTCCCAGCAAGAGAGGAGTTCTGAAAGTACCTGCGGAGAGTTGTCAATAATGATTACACGTGCCAGATCACGGCCAAGGACGGACAAATCCTTGAGGTAATTGCCATCCACAAAAACACATGATTCTCGGAAAACACGATGGCGAAATACTCTCCTCTTTGGATCAAGCACATTCAGAAGTTGCTCAGCATATATGCCTTGACTTGCTGTAAATATAATTATCTCAAAAAGACCGGAAACTCGTTCCATAAAATCTCTTAGGTGAGGACGGCATCTAACATAAACAGTGTGTTCCTGGAATTAAAATTTACAGGAAATGTGAAGTCTGCATCATCGCAAGGTTCTAGTGAGGAATGAACCAAAGTTTCTGCCAAAGCAATACGATTGAGTCAATACCAAAGGGTAATCATTACCAATTATAAGCAGAAAATTCAATGCTAAAAAATGTAAAATATAGATAAACCTAACAAATATTAAGGAACTCTAATGAAACTTAAAAAATAAGCATAAAAATACTGCCAAAACCGAAACTGTAAACATAAAAATTCATCTAATTGAATTATCCAAAAGTATTTTCACCATCCAAGTCCAAGACTAGAGTTGTAGGTGGGCAACTTCGTGTCTGCTTGGGAAGCAGCACAGGCCGAAAAGCAGGAATAATAGATGACAAGTCTGGTAAGTTCTTTATAAACAAATAAGGATCAAAGTCATCAAACTCCTCGTAGTATTCATCCTCCACACAGACATCAGTTGACATAGAATCTTGACCATGCTCGTCAATACATTCCAATTTTGAGTTTTTCATGGCCATATATATGGCTGAAACCTCAGATGAAACGACAGCTCCAGAATCTGCAGTACAAATCACAGAATTCGTGTCTACAAGCATCTCCTCTCCAGAAGTAGACTTAAGAGTTTCTCCAGTATGAGCATCCATATCAACCTCTGACGTAGTCATACAGATACATCATGCATGGATTAAGATAACAAAATATCATAAAAGAAAGAAAGCACAAAAAAAGTACCATAATGACACACAGAGACGTATATATAACCTACCTGCACATGCAATCTCAGATCCGCGAATTTTAGGTATGTGGAAGCCTGGAGAAAATATAGTACCGGTCATATGGTGTTCAGTGTCCTGCAACAGAATTAAAGAAGTAAGCAAATTCTGAACAGCATACAGCTAACTAAAATTAAACAGAGCTAAGCAAATTACCTCATGGTCTACATGAACACCATTAGTCACATCAGATCCAAGACACGCATCAGAAGCAGCATCATGCGGCAAGCCATATCTAGCATTTAAATTTGTATCCTCAACAGGCACTTCATTATGTTTTGGGAGTGTCCTGGCTGAAATTTGATAAATTTTACTATTTAACTAACATAGCAGATCTTACTGTTAAAAACAGACATTGACTTGGAAACCACATAAGATTAAACCTACTGAAAGTTTTTAATGGTGCCAAAATCAAGAACATGTAAAAGCATTATCTCTGCAATATTTTCCTTTTAATCAAACAAGTTCTGAGATAAAATTAGCAACATATTACATACCAGGTTTCTGCTTCCTAACAGAAGATGTAATTAGCTCCGTTACTTTCTTCTCTGGACCTTGTACCTTCTTCTGAGACCTTGAAGCCTTGGGACTGGCATGATTTCGGGAAGCAATTCTTCCAGAAATTCGTTTCTTTGTTTGCATTGGACCAGGCGTTTTGTCCCAATTCTCAGGATACTATCAATGCCCAATGTCATTGAATTAAATAATTTAAGTTCACGGGGTTATGACTCAAATTTAAAGCATTCAAAATACAATAAAACTTTTAGAAATAAAATGAACTATTCCCATACCATGTTCTGACAGTTTAATGCAGACTGAAACAATTAAAATAACAACCATGTCAAACCTCTAGCTTAAATCCTTAAACTTATTTAGATTACACAAAACAGTCACCTTTTACTCATTTTAAAATTGCTTCAATTCAAAACCGGTCATACCCAGAACTCTCCACCTAATTTAAGTGCACAAAAATGCAGGTTGTCATTTCTGGGATCTTAACTTACCACACTAAATCCCCTAAAGAATTCAAATTTCCAACAACATTCAAACAAAATTCAACATGCTTACAATGCACCCAAAATAATACAAATTACTAATGTGAAACCATCTTCAGTGAAAATAAAAAGGCATTTCAGATTTGAATGAAGCAAAATAGAGCAGACCATTCTACTTAAACCATCGAATGAGGACAAAATTTCAAAACCCTAAGTAACACCGGCTCCCAAAATAGAACACTAAACCAACAAATAATAGCAAACAAGGCTACCCAATTAAGAAATGCATCAAAATCAACATAAGCCCTATTGATTCTCGAACAAGGATCGTCGAACCAGTACAATAAACAGAGCATTTCAGTTAAATTAAATAGAGTTTGCAGGAACCAAAACT